CGAACTAACTCTAAAAGTGTGGTTTAATCTGCCGGAATACTGAGCTCGATTCCCACGCCCATTATTTCAATGTGAAATGTGTTCGACTGGTTCACTCTGGGCTCATTCTCGGCTGAGTTCCGGCGGACAAGACTCCCCGGCGGCCATCAGTTTGGGCTTTTCTTTGCGTATGAAACCAAGATGCCCCGCGCCAGTCTCTCTGAGATCGGGCTCAAGCCTGTTGGTCGTGCGTGCAAGTTTGCAAAATGAATTGAGGGAGCGGCTGAACCGCGAAAAATGACGAAAACTTTCATACAGTTACCGCAGCAAACGAGTTTCCCTCCGGATTAGGCCCACCTTCTTTTCAAAGCAAGGGGGCTCGATCTGGGGTGAGGCTGGACCTCTCCCGCCCCCCAACAAGAAATTACACCCCTGCTCTTGGGACGTGTGCGAAAAATCATCAGCATGGTTAAGGAGAGACTAGCTGAAAGTATATTAAACGCTTTTGCAGGACATCAGCGCGATGTTAAAGACAGCTAAAAGACAGTCTCGCCTTTATCTGCTAACATCCAGCCTGAATACTATAAGAATAGACTGGCGGAGGATGACGAGCGCTAAAATCAAATGGCCGAAAGTGTTGCATAGCTGGGCAGCGATTTGTAGAAGTGTTGCGTACAGGGGCGTCACTTCATATACTTTCGGGGGGCTGAGACCCCCCCTCGCCCAATGCTGGCTTGAGCCCCCTTAATGTTCCTTTGAGCCCCTTCAATGCACACGAGCAAAGGGGGAATACTGGGTCAAATAAATACGGAACAATCATTATCTTAACTATTGGTGGAATAGGTACTAGGTATATAAACAAATCACTATCAGTGTCATGCCAATTTTGCTTCAAAGAATATCCTGCATGTACCTAGTGCTTTTGTCATGCTAGCTCCTTCATATGTTGAGACAGCCTGCGAATGTTTGATAAATTTTTCAAATGGTGACGCCCGGATTGGGATAAAGAACAGTTTACTGGAACATGCGTCAGCTCTTTTAAGCATGGGGTTGCCTAAATAAAAGTTAACGCATGTTTCCATTAACACTGGTTAGTGTACTTGTCGCATAATCGTGACTGCGGTGGTTATACAACACGACCGGTGACGCCGGTAGCCATTAGTGATCCATTATCAAGGTTTACCAAAATATTTCTCTGTGAATTGCGTCCCATTCCACGTTTTTCACCAGAAAGCAGTTAACATTTACTTAAAATGGGAAATCATCCCACGCAAGAAAGCAATTTTAGACATACGATTATTGTACACTTTTACACGAAAAACGCAAGTTCAGCTGGCAGAAATCTGGGGAGAAACCAGGTTTTGGGGGCAAGCTACGTCAGCTGTTTCGGCTGATGCCCCCTCCCGCGCGATTCTTAAGAGTGACGGCCCTGGCTGTATAGCTATCAATTTGCTACGTAACAGAATAGCGCATTCCCCTCACCCCGTAGAAGGCCATAACAGGTCGTCGTGATTTCCCCTTCCATTGTCCATTACCTAATCTGTGCATGGTACAAACATCACGCAGAAGGGATGCATATTTATGTGCTTCCGCGTTGGAAGAATATTGTGCATGTTTGACGGTTCAGCGACTTGAAATGTCAACACAAAATGCTAAAAACCTCAATAAGTTGAGCAATAGGCCAGTTTTGCCTTTCTCGCTAGCAGCCATGAGCTAGCTGAGGCATTGACTACTGCTGAATGGCCACGGGTGGGCAGCGGACCGTCGCGGCCACGTGATCAGCTGAACCACCATTTGCCGGATCGGCGGCGGCGCGCCACATCTGGCAGCTGCGCGGGCCACCATTGCTCGGCGCGTGTCCCGGGTCAGCGGCGGCGCGCCACATCTGGCAGCTCTGCGGCCCGCCATTACGCGGCGCGTGTCCCCGGGTCAGCGGCGGCCGCCCCGACCGGGCCGATGATTTCACCTCAGCTCTATCACCGGGCCGCCGCCGGCAATTACGGGGCTGGCCCCCTCAGCCAGGCGCGCGTGCCACCTTCCTCGACTGAGTGGGCGCAAAAACGAGCAGCACCGGAAGAGCTCCGATTAGGCCGGGACCCGGACCGCAGCCCGCCTCGGCCCAATAACAAACCGGCGGCCGCTGATGAATTGCGGGCGGCAGCGCGCCGCCGCCGGCCGCGGAGAACCGGCGGCGCGGCGGTGCCATGAGCGATGAACACGCGTCACAAAATAACAACTGGCTGGAGAAACGGCGTGTGTCAGCGCTAATTGAAAACGTGGTCTGTAGGTGCCCTGCTGCGTGAGGTAGATAACCGGTGCGACGGCCGCAGGCTGTGAAGCATAGCACCAGTGCGAAGCATAGCACCCCTCGTGACCGGGGTGGCAGATAGTGCAGCTATCACCAGCCGGGATGGTGTCCTATGGATCCACGCCTGATACAGGCGACCAATAAATATTCATTGTCAGCTATCCTCCAAATGGCAATGGGCTATCTGTCGTCCATATCTGTCGTATGCCTTGTCGGTATCGAGCCGCGTCGGCGTCGCCACACCGCCCTGTAACACACACCAGCCCGCCACCGGGGCAGCGTCGCTTCCCCGCCATCACCAATTCATGAATATTGTCATGACGAGGTGTCACCGGCGGCCGGTGAGCGGGCCGACAATGGCCCTCGCCTCTAACTGTCGGCTCCGTGGACAGGTGCGCGCCGTGATTGCCGAGAACGCGACATGGCAGCGGCGGCGGCGACTGGCGGCCGCCCCGGGCGATTGCATCACCGCGCCGTCATCAGAGCCAGATGGCCGCTAACGAAGCCGGTTATAGACGATGGGCGGACACACGGCGGGGCTGTTGCGGTGCGCCACCCGGCGTCACTGGCCGGCTGGCTGAAAATCACGTATTTAGTGGACGCGGATTTCAGACCTAGTCGAGATGGTTGTTCAGTGAGGCTGTCGCAAAAGTCGTCCCCCGAGTGGTCCCATGTCAGAGATGTCGCCGGGGATTTCGGTCCATCCCTTTAATAGACCATCGTGTTTGCGTGTGGGCAACAATAGCTCGGATCTAACCAAAGTGCCACACCGAAATGAGCCAAATGAACCAATCGTTAATAGTGGCCACTGGAATGAGCATCGATAAATTAGCCGTTGATTCGTCCGTATCACATATGCGCAGCCTCGGTGATGAAGCATCACGGACGGGTGTTACAATCGCCGGCAATTAGTGCACTCCCCCTTTCACAGCCGTCACTCCTCCACACATTGATTTAATAAATGGGCCGCATCGCGACCGTGCCGCGCGCATCCTTTGTCCGTCGCTTCCGGCGTTGCTCTCCCCTTTCAGCGGGCCGGCCGGCGGCGCGCGCGCGGTTTTCATGGCCCGTGAGCCCCGAGCTTTACGCACCTCATTAGGCAAGCACACCTAGCTAATGAATATAATTGACTTGATATTTCCTTATCTGTCGGGCGGACCGGAAGGCACGCGGGAGGGCCCAGAGGGGGCGGTCCGCACGCATCCACCTGACTTCCTCTGTTGGGGGCGCGGGCCGGGGGCCGCGGCCGCCCGGCCGCCCGGCCTGGAACCCCGCTGACCTACACGTGAAAGCGGGACGCGCGGCCGGCAGGAAGTCTGTTTAGCATGCTAGCGTAATGTAATACTTGCAAACATGAAACGTCACCAGCCAGCAACAATTCAGCCAGCTGTTGGAGAAGCTCCCGGACACCAAAGCTCGTCGGAATATTTGTGCAAGCTAGTCATTAAAGCGTATTTGTTGATGACCGGAGCTTGTGTTTTAGGACGGCAATGGCTGGTTTTTTATATCAGTGGTGGTTGCGGTTACTCTCCCATCTAGATTTCGCAGGTCACAGGTGTGATTTGTAACGCAGAATTGCTGTCAGAAATCAAGATGTCTCACTTTACAGGCATATAATCAGACTCTGAATGTTCAGTAACAGCCTGAAGATGGTGTTAATTTACGATAGTGGATCTGACAAAGATCAATTAACTTGAAACGTGTGCAGCTGGCTCGACCTTAGCTACAACAACCTAATAGCCCAATTCCAATTTTAAAACGGATGCAGCATTTAATCGGCGACGGCAGTGTATGAAAGGACCCAACCAGAAGAACTGCAAGCAATCAGGGTTTCATTAACAACCATTCCGTCGTGTTCGCAGTCGACACGGGGCCTTTAAAACCTTCAAGTATCGCATCGCACGGGCGTAGAAGACCATCGATCAGTCGTAGCTAGGCGTTGCTATCAAATGTAAAAATACTTGTTTGCGCGATTGGCCAATGACACAAACCAATTTGCAAGCAGCATTTTAATTCCAATCGCTACTGCAGCATTTGCTCAACGTTTGCATACCCTATGGCGAGAGTCTGAGCGACAAGAAAAAGTTTGGAAAGGATGGATGCCCGGTGAGGTGTTCCATATTGCACACAGGGTGATACGTAATTAAAGCAGATGTTCTTCATTTGTATGGAGGGAGGGGTCTGAACTGGGTTAGCCATTCTGAAGGCCATTCGGTGCAGTTCGCTGGCCTCCTCCTTACGGTCTAAACCGCTCTAGTTTCCGAGCTACACGCCCGCAAAGATGTGCAAACTCTTTTGGAGAGACTTTTTAAGGCACGCAGGCATCCATGACCCCATAAAAACATCATTCAAATCTTGCTATTCCATCAGGCATGCGGTGATCAATGCCAAAAAAATATAATTGTCGAGTCATTCATATATTGCGTTGGCGAGCACTATGTCCAGATATAAGGGTCGTCAATTGGCTCTCATTTAATGTTGTGTAAAGTACGATGACGCGTGCAAACAATAACGCATTGAGGGGCATATTAACTAAATAGAGAAAATGTGTTCGCTGGAACAGCCTATTCCACCTGAAAGTGCACAAAAAGTTATGACAAAGCTTACTTCATCATCTTTCATGTTTCTTGCTTTAATGTTTCCAACGTGGAACTTTGCCTATAAGAGCGTTTGAAATGGCCGAGAAGTTCGGCTGAGTCGGTGCAGTGCGCGCTCACCGGTATTGCTGGTCCGCTTGGGCTTTCTCGATTCTCTTGTCTTTCGCCCGCCGGTTTTGAAACCAAATCTTTATTTGCGTTTCAGTGAGATCCAGGCTTTCAGCAAGCTCAAATCTGAAAGCATATCCACCAAACTTTTATAAAACGCATCAGCTTGTTCGTAGCATCGTTCAATGATGTAAGGGCATGGCACCAAAAACACGTTGATGTCCTGTGCAGCGAATGGCTCGTCATGAACAAGCTAGGATATGATGGTTACAAAGATCTCAAACAATGACAAGAACGCATAACGAAAACCTTGGTATTTGTGTGTAGGTGGTATCCAGGCTTTCATCTAGCTGGAAGCCGGCTTGACATAGATAGAGCTTTGATTTTTTACCCGTATGTCACCTGCAGAACAGGGAGATATGACCAGCCCTTCTCCTCTAACGATTTCTCTCTGCCTCTCTCACATATCTACAGGGTTGCAGCCAAGGGAGTAGCCCGGGGCCTGTTCCCTTTGTAGGCCCGGATTTTCCATTGTTCACCTCAGATTGCCCCGACAGGAAGCTGAAAACCGGTGCGATTCGTATTCGCCGGGCTCCGAGCCCCTTCTTTGATGAAATTCTGGCCGCGCCCCTGCTTACCTCACTTATTTTCATCTATCCGTTTTCCCTGTAGGGTTTATTTTCCCTTTTTCCACCTTACCCGGACGTCTCACATCTGATTGATCTCTATTCCCTTTCCCACACAACTCCCTCCCTCCATCCTCCTCCTCCCTTCTCATCTCCCTCCGAAACAAGGGGCCGGGATATGTGCTCTTCTCTCCTTCTGACCTGCGAGGCCGGGAAATGTGCTCCCCTGTCCCTCTGACTCGTGGTGTCGGGAGTACCCTCTCCCCTCTTTCTGACCTACGGAGCCGGGTGCCCCTCCGCTCTGACCTGTCGGCCGGGAGATGTGCTCTCCTCTCCCTCTGACCTGCGAGCCAGCTGACATACCCCTTCTCCCTTGCCCCTTTTCATTGTGCCCACTTCTCTTGTGCCCTTTCCCTCCCGGCCCCTTCTTTATTGTTCCTTTTCTTTGAGGAACTTTCTCTCTTGCCCCTCTCCCTCGTGCCCCCTTTTCTCTTGTCCCTTGTCTTGGCGCCCCTCTCTCATTGATCTGGCAAACCGGGAGATGTGTTCCTTCTCGCTCTGACCTGCGCGGCCGGGAGATGTACTCGTTGCGGTGGTACTCCATCTCGAGCCGCAGCGTCTGCTCCGATGTGAAGGTGGTCCGCTGCCGCCGCTGGCGAGCGTCCTTCCTGCGCCGACGAGCGACTGCAACAGGCCGATCCCGTGTCCGTCAGCCAGCAACCGGGTAAAGATCGCATCGCAAAAGATCGTTAGCAAATGATCGTACACCAAAAGATCGCACGAATAAGACCACAATGCCAAAACATCCCACGGGGTAAACCCCGTATGGATAGAAGTGGTATGGCAGTCCATACTGGGTGCTCTTCGCACGAGATGAAGGTCGTATGGCTGACTTCGCTTCCTAGGCATGGCTTCGCAGGAGGGCTCGACTTATAGTCAGCGCGTCAGATCAACGAGCGGCGTCGCCTATCCCCAGCAATAAGCGGGCGAAAGCGGAAGAATGCCTGGTTGATACTCTGTCCGGCTTCGCAGATACTGATCGATGCCGTGGATATCTGGGAAGGAAATTAAAAGGAGCAGACTGGCAGACCAAAGTCGGCCAATGGAGCATGGCTCCACCCCTAGAAAATGAGGGCTGTGGGGCTTTCGGAACTTGGCGTGCATTAAGGTTTGATATCGGATTCATCTCTAAAGGTACAATGATCCTTGTGGGCAAAAAGATCATGATTTTGTTTGCACCGATCTTAAGCACACCCTAAGAATGCTCGGCACCCCATCTCCTCCGAGAATCCAGTAGGAAGTGCATGCATTGTGCTTGAATGTACCTATGGCGTGAATGCCATGGCTAGAGATGACTGTAAAAAATGTGATCCAGAACCTAATGCGCTCCAAAACCACACGACCTCCTTCGGCAAAGCAAGAAGAGGGGCTCTGCGGCTGTGCACATTCCGCAGTACCCCATAGCACTTCGTCATTGAAATGCGGCGATCCGGGTGGCTCGACCATTTGAAATTCATCAATAATGACAGACTAATTAAAGCCACTTCCGCCGCGGAAATGGGCGCTTGCAGTTGCCGACGCATCATTAGGATTTCGACCGGGCGCCGCGTAATCGGGGATAATTTCCATCACGTGACTGGCCTGGGTAGGGCACTTGCCACCAGTGATTGTGTTATCCTGTCGCTGTCTGATGGTCGTTCCAAAATCAGGTCATGCTGGGAAGTTGTGTTGACGGAAGCTCTGGGTTGCGCCGATGCATAAGACTGGGAAAATGGGCCGGTCATTAACGCAGGCATTTTGAGGATCTGTAGAATATTCCATAAAGGCGTGACGCTTGCCAACAAATAGTTTTATGAGAAATATGATATGATTTGTGTCAAAACATTCGTACCAATAACACAACAGTTCGTAATTTGTACAGCCTATAGGGCATGTCTATGGTTTGCTTATGGTTTGGTATAAGGCATATCGATGTTTATTTCACTTCGTTTTGGAGAAAGTTACGCCAGGCAACATGACTACTAGTGCAAAAATGCATCACTATCTAGGGAGGTACGCGGAGTTTAAATGGCGGGGCATAAAATGTTTCCTGAAAACCGAGTTCAGTGCCTTCAGGTGCCTTAGAAAACCTCAGGTGCCCGCAGCCTCCGGGATGTCATAAAACAACATGGCATGCCCTCGATCTTCCTAGTTTAACGCAAATACCTGGAACTTCGTTCAGTCCCGGACATAATAAATTAATGCGTGCCACAAATGTGGTAAGGGGGGAGGGGCACGTGTCTCCGGAGGTGACTATATGCTGCAAGCCCGTTGATCTATTTCATTCACCCTGACTGAATGCCAAAGTTTTGGAAGGATATTTTTGATTTCATTGACTTTAACGGCTCGCCCGCGCCGCAATCAGGTGGAGTGCTCTGCCGCGCGGTGTTTTGCAGCTTAGCTGGTTTCAAACTTGGAGGCCTGTTCCAATGAAAGGTTCCATCAAATTTGGGTCGAGACAGCCATAGGATGCAGCTGACGCCATGGTTTTTGCTCGTTGCACTTGGCCTGCCAGGAAGATGGCAAACGTTTGTGGATCAGCTCCCAAATTCATCAGACGATGTCTAATCTGACGTCAGCGAGGCGCTAGGCCGTGACGTCACTTCTCTCCGACCCCGGAACTATCCGTCATAGGCTATTAATTTAGTGGCCAGAAATTACCGGCATGGCTATTACTACCCGGGGTAATGACGTTGCGTTTACCTAGAGAGGAGAATGGCAGTTGGCTGGTGTCGGTCCAGTGGACGATGGATGTCGGCTGTCGGACATTTAAACTAACCACGGCCAATCAAGAGTCAATTGGGATGAAATCAATAGGAACGCAGCTCAGCACTTTTTAGCTAACAGACACCGACGAAGAACTGTGGCTGACGATGTTCATCCCATGGTTATGCGGCAGCTAATTATGTGAGCCATTCAATGTCATGCAAGAGGAGGGTTATAAGCATGCAAAGACACATCTCAGTATTCGAAAAGAATGCTGTGGAGGAAGCCGTTTGATGTCACTAACAACGGAATACAAGGACGCGATACAGTTTGCAGGTGGGACGTGATGCAACGGTTTTCCAAGGCATAAGAAAATATGTGCATCGGAGCCTTCATGACGATTAATGTTGTTTTATTGTGGTAAGCTCTGGTTCCATGAGATCGTAAAAGCAAACCTTGTGCCAGTTACATCATGTTCGCAGGGATGAACGCAGAAATGCGTAATAGGGGAAGGGCAAAACAAAGCAAAACGAAAATGCCGAAAACCCAGGTTACCTCGGCGCATGCACGGAATTCCTTAAATGCCGTAAAACAACATCACATTTTTGGGGGATTTGTTTAGCTTTACTTGTCATTCGTGAATTTGTAATTGTCGGCAAGTATCCAAACACACATCAATGCAAGCAATATATTTGGCTTCAGCTGGGCTAGTTGATATAAAATTTAGTAATGATCATATATAAGATTTCCGAAATAGGTACGTGTGTGTGTGTGTGTGTGTGTGTGTGTGTGTGTGTGTGTGTGTGTGTGTGTGTGTGTGTGTGTGTGTGTGTGTGTGTGTGTGTGTGTGCGTGTGTTACATTCATAGAGCCATCCACAATGGAGCGTGGCTATTATAGCCCCGTGTCTAACGTACATGAGTAAGAACACGTAGGAAGAAAAAATGTAGTAATTTGTATATTCAATAATTTAGTAGTAATATATAACATGTCCGCTAGTGTTCCGCTAAGCTCTATCTCCCTTAGTTTAAAAACCGCATGGGGGGGGGTAGTATTGCCCCAGACCCCACCCTTTCTATCAATTCGCGGTATGAAAACGGCGAATCAGGGTGAGGGTTAAGATCAAGCACGTCTTTAAATCGGCACGTACCCCAACCAATAAAATGTCGGATGTCTTTTTTCGCTCCGTTTGTTAGCGCAGAAGCCGAGGTGCTGAAGCCAGGCCTGGAATCACGTTCATATTTTGGATTTGTTGATGGAATTTCCGAAGCAAACTTCTAACAACACCAATAGCACATTTAGACAAAGACACGGGGATTACGTAGATCATGAGATATGTTGGATCTCTGCATGGTATCTGCGGCTTAATTAAGAACCATCATCGCCCCCATCAGGACAGGTAAATGTGCACGCGGCCGAAGTCCCTCGCGTCCGTCCCGGTATCGCATTTGCCGCCCATGCGGGCCGGGAATGGATTTAGGGGGCGAGCCCAGCCTATCCAGTTTCATTTAGCCCAATTTGGCCGCGGTCAGGCGACAGGAAATCAGCGGCTTCCGGTCGCTGTGTCGCCCTGTTTTTCCGGCCGGTGGTGACACGCGTCCCGTGCGCGAGCCGGCCGCTTCACCGCCACCCCGCCCCGGGCTCGTGCCGGCCCCGTAACCGCCACTCTGGTCAGCGGCCGGCGGAGCCGGAGGGGAAGAACGTCACCAAAGTCGTCGTCACAAATGAGAGTTGTCATGTTTTCAGGTATGGTGATGGACTGGAGGAAAGCTTTCACGCCGGAAGTGAACGCATCGCTCCGGTATTGATCGGGTGGCTGGACGCGTGGCGCTGTGGGTTAACACCATCAGCCGATGATCACATATTTTCTCGTCAGTGAAGAGTAGACAGTCGGACGGCAGGCCGCTAATACAACCGCACGTGGCCACCAGTGTGTCGAATTATCTGGCCGTTCAGAGTAAATGCCGTAATTTGTTCCAGAGGTGTGAAATTGGCGCGCGCGGCCCGTCGCCGCGCCGGTCGGCCCGGCCATCCGCCACGTGCCAGACGCGGTCCGACGGCCGTCATTAAAGGCATCTCGCCGGCATTGAATTATCACCGGCGCCCGTTCGATTGCGGTGTTTTAAAGTGACAGCGCGCTGGCTGACCGGCGAGAGGGCCTATTTGGAGGGGGGAGGGGGCGGCTGCAGCTGCCGACAGCGGCCAGCCGTCGGCGTGTGCCGCTGTCGAGAGCCGCGGGGGGGGGGGGTGCGCCGCGGAGGAGGGGGGTGCGCCGCTCTCGGTGTGATATCTGGTCAGCAAACGAGACGAGTTAGTGCACTTTGCCGCACAGTTTGTGCGAGTCAGAGGAATCGCTGAGAAGTGGTCTAGAACTAGCTGGCTTCGGTATCGCCTGATACTAATCGAACGAGTTTGGAAAAAGACAAAATATTTGGATCGTCTTAGCTTCAGAACATGCAAAATGTGCGTGGCTAGAGATCCCAAGATGGTTGAGAATATCAGAACCCCCCAAATCGAAAACTGATATCTTGTTGCCGGCATGACATGGTTACATTTGGAGCATAACTATGTCGCTGACATGTCATGTCGCTGTCGCATGTGTCGCTGTCATGTCATGTCGCTTCACACTGGGCTGAAATGCTACGAGCAAAAGCGAATGAGAAGTTGCGGATCGGTAGTACAATGCGGTGGCAGATGCAACAGCATGGTAACTAGATGAAACAAAGCGTTTGATGATGGGCCGGCGGTTTGGCATGCATTTTGTGTGCCGTCATGTAATGGTAAAGAGAGGGAGATAGGAATGAAAATCCATGAAAGGAAGCGTTTTTCCAACGGGACCCAGCAGAGTATATACACCACACCACCCATCGACCTATTGGTCCATATCGCCCACGCGTCTGTGCCAAGCATGCATAAATACATCGATCTAAGATTTTGCCGTTCTCAGTCCAGCCTCTTCAGTCCCACACATAATCAATTTTCAGTTAAGCATCGGTACACACCAGTGCATTGTCGGGGCTGCCTGCTGACAGCTACCATGTGTACCATTCATCAGCTGCCACTATAATCAACCGCTTCAGTTACATATCAGACGTTTGAATGCCAATGGCTCCTTGTAGGTCGCTCGATCGTCAATGGATGTGGACTCTGAAAAGTCTACACGCTGCGAAACGAGTTCGGAAGAGCTGGCGTTGAAAACCGGATAAAATAAACATCACACATTTCATTCCATCACTTACTGATGGCGGGAGGCATGAAAATCTCGAGAAAATTCATCGGCAACTTTTGGTATCAGAGATGGCGATGCAGGTCGCTGCTGCCTGTGTTCGTTATAATTGCCATGTTTATGTCATTCGGGAGTTTCATGTATGTAAGGAAAATCCTTACAGACGCTACGTAAGACTTCCGACGAATGTCATAGTGAAGCGCCAACGCCTTAACAGGACAATTGACAGCACTTGAGCCTTAGTGACATCTTCATCCGATTGCAATTTGGGAAGTGGACGCTGGTGTGTTTGCCACTGCACGGAATCAAACTAAATCTCCGTCAATATCCGCATCGTTTCGTGGTATAACGTCGTGGGTTCGCTCTTTCGCTGGGCTGATTGGGACACCCAGCAGTTTCGTAGCAAGCCTACAGTGAGCCCCCGTGGCGAGCGCCTCGACCGGAAGTGCCTCCCACGCCAACCGACGGTAAGATATGCTGTATCAGCTCTGCATGGCGACGCAGGCCAGTGCGGTACCAGACCATACCCCGGGCAGGGCAGCGATCACTCTGGATGATGCCAGGTGTTTGGAACAGACTGATATGCCACGGAACATGCCTTTTTGCACTCGTTTGGTTAGTTAACGGTAGATAGTGTCGGAAGTCATGCGCATTGACCAAACCGCCGCTAGGTGGAAGGCTAACTGCTTTTTGTCAAACACTGTTGCGTTGTGCTGGATCGGTTTCGGCTTTTAGATAATGAGCTTACATCATCCACTTAATACTACCGTGCATCCATGTTATCCATAATCCTCACACGAAGTTAATTTTGCACTCGCTGATATGTGGCAAATAATTTATTAATCACCACAGGATTTAAAGTTGGAGCAGTTTGTAGACAAAATGACGCAGAAGGCATCCGACTGTTCTAGCTGACTCTGATTGAATACCTTTCAGTACCTGCAGGGGCGGCCCGACGGAGATGGAGGTAGAATTTTTAGGGATCTACTGTTTACGGGGGCTCCTGAGCAATGTCGTATTCAAGAGAGCTACCGGGGCACATACCCCCTATCAAACATGTGCATGAATCAAAATCCATGGGAACATGCGTCGACAGTCAAAAGCACAGTATGGGGGCTTCTGATTAATACAGGGGGCTTCTCAATTCACCAAAGAACCTTCCTAACCCAGACAGGGGCTTCTAATGTGTTATAAATATATCGATAAGTGTGTTCTTATCGAGGACAGGATCCCTCAGATTCATCAAGGGGACTCCAACTAATTCATGGAGGAGACTCCAAATCTAGCAAAGGGTCTCGTTAACCCAAAACAGGGCAACGTCACCAGGAACGGTGGCCTTCTGATGCATAAATTGACCGCCCTGTTGCAAAATGTGGGCCTGCTGGTGTATTTATAAAGGTCACTTCCCAATCCTGTACAGGGGCGTGCTGATCCATCGAGGGGCCAAACCAGGAAAGGGGCCTCCTTAAAACCAACTCGGGCCTCTCATAGTTGTTCGTGAGCAAGAGCACACTATTGCCTGCCTCTCTGCCCCCTCCCGTTTGCTTCGCGGCCCTTTAGTACATGCACATGTTGATATAGCTTAACGAATAAAGCGAAGTGTTTTTTTTCCTTTCTCCAACCGGTGAGATGGCTTAAAATACCAACACTGAAAACATTGGCACGCGTCCTGAAATGTCAAAACAAAACTAGATTACTATTTTCTTGTTCGAGTCAGCATCTTGATAACTTTGTGGAAATAGGCGTCACGCTAAGGACGTCGCGTGGAAAGGAACACCGTGAAAACCTAATGCTCCCTTCTCAAGTATTCGGCGTCTGGCCTCTAATAACAAAAATAGTGTCAAATGGCGGTTTGTACCGATACCTCTTTGAGATGCTACGCGCATCGGGGGAGAGCTAGTTAAGGCGCATTGTTGCTATCAGAATGTGAGCCAGCATTATTCAAGCATTATCTGTTAAACTTGTGTGAGATGTAAAAACTGCATTAAACTCCTTTTAGCACCGTAACCTCCTGTTTTCCTGGTGGCAGCACAAAAAGCAAAAGGTGAGGCGGTGAAGTGAGCAAAAAAAAAAAACGATGGAAATAAGGTAGCAAAAGCCCAGGGTATCAAAAACGGGCACAAAAAAGCAAAACGAAATGAGGACACGCGGAAATATTATAATCATATATAGGTGTAAAATTCAGCGGGGATGATATTACACAGAGAAAAATTCGGGCCTAGAAATCAAAAGGGGATAACATTTAATAAGGATGAGCGATGAAAGGGAAGTTCAAAAGACGGAACCTCAAAGAGGATGCAAGCCAACAGGGGTAAAGATCAACAAAGGAAATGTCAGAAAGGGGAAACCCAAACTGCGAAAACTCAAATGAGGAACTGCAAGAAAGGCGTCTTTGTACACTTATTGAAAACATAAATATAATTGTTTGCCAGACGGGCGATTTTGTACTTCAGTCAGAACACGGAAACCGTCCTCTGTTGTCCAACTGCTACTCTGCTGTGACTTGAGATAGCCAGGCAGTAAACAGCTCTGGGTAATCCTAGTAAAACTGCATCATGCTGCAGTGATTAATCACTGGCGCATCCGCTGCAGTAAGAGGACCGTCACCGTCTGGTGACAGAGAAAATGGAATCGAAAGGCCTAATGGTTATCCTTTCTAGTGCAATATGGTGATACGTGACACAATGTGCAAGCGCTCACACTGTTTTTACAGTCATTCACCCGAAACGGCCAGCTCATCGAAACGAATGTCTGGCTGAATAAGTTTGAAATCGTTCGTTACTAAATTTCAGGCCACTGTCGGCCGTGTCGTCAGGTCACTGGTCGATGACCTGGTTCTCAAGGGTCTGCACGGTAAAATGTTGGAAAATATGTGCCCTGTGACGCTCTTGTGGCTCTCCGTGCGTATAATTTTTCACATGGTTCGGCATGCACGAAGTGGTCCTGTAGTGTACAGCAATGATATCCATATCTTTGGTAATGGTCATCGATGTCAAAGTGACATCGCTTTAGCCCTACCACAGTCATTCTGTAATGGACCGAAATTAATCGCCTGCATGCTGTGAACATTGATGTGCCTGAGTGTCATGGACTAGTTGTGCAGGGTGGACTTATAAAGAATGTGATTAGGGGTTATTTGAAACACAGGCCATGTCAGATCAATAACAAAGGGGATTAGTTAAGTCAGCAATCCTTCCTCGGTGTATCGTTATGATTGTCGTTTTGCCATCAGGAGTTTTGAGCGCAAGGTCAGTTCATGGAAAATCATGTAATGACCGCGGATGATCTTACATTACCCGTTGTGAGCAACTCAGTTCATACATTGAACCAGCTTTGCTTTACGGGCACATGGAAAACTGTCATGTGACGGCAGCAACATGATTTGAATTTGGAAAATGACAACTTTTTGCAGCCTGGCAGGTCCACTTTTCTACATGACTTATGATAACCAAAAAGAAATGAAGATGAGAAATGCTCAGGAACACGCAGTACCTTCTGGTACTATGAAGATGGTTATTTTCAGCAAAAAAGCCGTCATGATTTTTTTTCAATTTGACATTCGTCTTTGTTACGTCGCCCCTCATGATTTTTATCATTTCAAGTTTGCTGTACTTTTTCCATTTGGGTTTTCTGTTTGGATCATTGCTTGACCATGTTTCTTGTCAGCCATGCTTCGTACGAAGACATTGATGACAAAACAGACTTGTTGATGACTGAACCTTTTGATGACCGTTGATGACTACTTTTTTACATTCACGACACACGGCGTGGTAGCCGACGCGGTCGGTGGCCTTGGACCTCACACGTTTCGCAATAACTGGACATCAGTACTAGGGAAAGGCACGACAAGATCCGACGTAACCTTAAGGTCAGGAAGGAAGGTTAGCACTCCACTTTTGCGGACGTTCCTAAGCCACTACGAAAGCGATGCAAATCACCTTATGTAACGGACGCAATTCCAGGAATCCCAGGACATCCCTAAAATGGCTTTAGCGACTAGAAGTTGTGGATGCAGGACCCACAAGATACTATTACAAATTAAATGCGACCAGTCGTGTACATCCACCCGAAATGCCATAGCTCCCTGGTCCGGTGACGGATTCCTGGCTGCGTCCCTCCAGCCGGGCCGTACTCACAGAAGGCTGGCAGGCCGCCGAAGTGCAGGTCGAAGGGCCGCAGCGTCTCCGGCGAGTGGAACGGCATGAACGGGAAGTACGGCACGCGGGCCGGCTCGTACGGCGGCGGCGGCGCCGCCCCGGGCGGCGGCGGCAGGCCCGGCGGCAGCGGCGGCGGCGCGCCGGTCGGCGTCAGCGGCGGCGAGTGGGGCGGCGCGGGCGGCGGTGGCACCGCCCGCTCGCCGCCCGCCGCCGCCGCCCACCTCCGGCTGAAGTGGAAGCGCGGGAAATCCGCCGGCGAGTCGTCCGAGGTGGGCGTCAGCGACGGCGCGCCGGGGCTGGCTGAGCCGGCGTCCGGGGGCGCCGGCCCACCGCCGGCCGGTGTCTGCTCGGCGGCGCCCGGCGGCACCGTCAGGCTGGGGCTGCCGGTCGCCTCCGGGCGACGCTCGCAGGAGGGTACGGACACCGCCGGCTTCGAGCCGCACTGGCTGGCGACCATGCTGCGTGAGCGGTGTGAAGAGCTGCCGAGAAGCTGATTCTGTCGAAGGTGCCCCGACGGCTAGGTCAGGCTGGTCCGTTTCCCCAAGTGAAACGCCTCCCCGATGCGAGTTTCCGATGCCCGGCCCCCGCTGGTGGGCGGAGCGTAGTGATGCTCGTGACGTCATCGATGGCACTGGCCAATCGGCGTAGAGGCGCCCGGCAATTGCGCTCGTCCGAAACGCCGGCGGCCCTCATTGGGCACTGGAACGGACGGTGATAATGGCAATCGTATAACCAGGCGCTGCTTGTGGCTGCTCTGCCCGGTTACAATGTGACAGTCACGGCTTGAGCTGAGGAGAGCTGGCCAGTTCGACTCAGCACGTCTGATTTGACTGGTGGCTCGACTGCAGCTACAATTTATTTCAAATAGCCATAGTTGTCTGACCTGTTTTCAATCCAGGCGTACGCTTGGGGTTATTAGCCAGTCGGATTCTACACTATCCAGTCATCGACTTACGAATGCAGTTCTCAACGGCAGATTTTCCGGGCGGTGGGGGGGCCTTGTGGGTGGCGAGCCATCGCGAGATGCGTGCGGGACACCCCTCGCAGGGGCGGCTACATGCTGGTCAGTGGCGGGAGGTGCTGGCGGTCACGAATCCAGGGCAGTTAGGGGCGTTGATTGCTGTTGATCGAATACGCACGCTGTCCTGCATTTAGTGCGTGAGGATTCATTGGGTTGCAATTATTAGAACAGCGTGATATCCTGTCTGCCGTTACAAACTCAAATTGTCCTTTGACCAAATGTAGTAAGCGGTAGAATGTATTGAGAAGTCAATGACTTAGGTGTACAAGCCGCCATACGGTCTCTTGTCGAAGCTATCTGATCACGAAGCGGCAAAAACTGCAAATGATAGTGATGAGCAAGGTAGGTGACCCTATCCATAGAGAAACCTTGTGAACTGGCTTTTTCAACTGTATGGAAAACGCCATTCCTCAAGAAAAAAATCGCAAAACACTGTTTTCCGGTGAGAATCAGAAAAACTTTGTCTAGTTACCTAACAGTAACGTCAAAATATTGATTTAACCAAGGCCATATAAGTCAATTTAACAGGTGTCGCTCCACCTCAATCGACTGGAGTATTTGAAGGGGGATAACGATTGTGGCCCACGCTGAATGGAAATCTCGCGACACGCTCGTAAACAGGGCGGTCCGTCACGCCGTACTCCAGTCGGGGCATCATCCTGCTCTAGCACAGCTTTGTGATGCTCAATGGAGAGTTGTGTGACCTCGGATCCTTTTCAGAAATAAGATATCATCATCGGCTGTTACCCACTCAATTGTTTCCATATTTATGGCTGTAAATACTCTCATAAATGGCTTGAAATGTTCCGGGCTTTTATTCGCTTCAGTGCCGACAGACCCAACTTCTCATGTTTCGAAGATGACCGAACTAATACGGTCTGGGGCTGCTGTACATTTGCAACAGTGGTGGGGAGCAACTCGAGGTTTTGTACTGAAAACTCCACTTCACCGTTATCTCAGGCTCACAGAGCTTCTCACATTGCGTGTAACAACATCACATTACGTGTAACAATCTACTTATTTTTAGGTGCCTACTTCCATCTTTAAACTGCCAATATTTGTTTATGTGTATATCCATGTCCGTAATAGTTTGATGATGTTGTACTGCGCCCAGTACCACCTCCCTTGAATATGACCGTGTTTTCAGTATTCTCCATTTTCATGCCATATTTCTCCCTTTTTATAAAAGTCTTTGAGCCCCCGACCAGCGTCCATGGTCCGGGGGCCCAAAGACATTGCAACAATGGCTGGGGGGGGGGGGGTCCTGACCAGGGAAGATGGTTAAAACTGCTCGCAAAAAACGAAGCAGAGGATTTTCATCGAATTTGACCCACTCCCCTTTCAAAGTTGGAAGCTAGGGCTCTAACTGGATAGGAAACTACACCCCGCTCCTGACCACCTTGTACCTAGGTGTTTTTTTTCAGCTCTGTTTGTCTTGATGCTTTTTAGGATCTTTCTACTGCCTCAAGATTCTTCGAATTTCCCGGAACTCTCTAGGAAAGAACCCTGGATCGGTTCTGGTCGTTGCGCATGCACATTAACAAATATTCGGACGGCATCGTCACAAAGGTGGCCCAGGTAGCGCTGTGTCGCCAATGCCGCTTCATGGTCACCTGGTATCCCCGCTAGCCCGGGCAATTCGAACTCCTGTTGGCGACGCCCTAAGCCTGCAGACGTGTGCACCTTATCCCGGGCGGCGGGGGGCGGGGGGGGGTCAGAGGGGAGGGGGGCAGCGTGCTTCTGCGCACAGCACAGCGTGTCTGTAAGCGAGACGGCCGCCCGTGCCGGCCGTGAGTCCCCAGCCCATTGGTGGCGCCCGAGGACGGCGCGCGTGCCGGGCCGCTGTCGGCAGACAGAGCGGCTAACTGGATCCAATCAGCGGCCGAGCCAGCCCAGCCGTGGCCGAGTGCAAGCGGCTGATCCTCTCTCGGGGCTGGCCCGGCCGCCGCCAGCTGACGGTTGCCACGGCTGGCGGCGGCGGCGCAGCGGCGCGCGGCGCGCGCACCGGGCCCTATTAGAGGGGAGGCTAAACTGCTGCTGATCGCCGCCCAGCGCTGGATAGGGAGATAAATAGGAGGCAATGCGGCGGGTGAGTTGGATATGAGGGATAACGTTTCATGTGGAATTGGAACAATTATGATGGCAGGTACGGCTGGCATTATCCCACAAAACACGTTGGCCACAAATATACGGCAAGGCGAAAATGAACGTACACTGTAAAGGAACATGTTCGTGCTCTGCCTCAGCCTTGCCTCACGGTGAGCACTGATCATGCACACGTGATGCATGAGGGTCATGCCGATTGATCCCTGTGTCTTATGCGCAATTAGCGTCGTACGCAAAGCCTTCTCATGTTGCAAAGCGCGCGTTCTTGTGGTGATATGGATTGTGTACTTGCGAGTTTCCTCTACTCACATCTCGTAGATCATTAGCGCATTACGGGTTTGTCCAACAGCAGTCAACCGCGGTGCAGGTTTGTCATGCTTATCAATCCGCCGTAGTCGCATCCGCAGTCAATATCAGTATCTATATTAACGGCATATATGCACAGCTATCCTCTACCAAAGCCTCAGTTATCGCATTGAAAAGTTGCAAGACCCATGATACAAAAAACAGCCGACGGGAACAGGAACACCATCTTCACGGCGTTTCCTGAGGCCATGGCTCCCGTTTCGTGCAGGTGCAGGCGGCTGCGACGTCGGAACAGCTAGAACATGATGCCGCCCATGGGCATGCCGCTGGCGTAGTCGGCCAGCCCGTCGCCGATGCCACCCATGATGGCACCTACGTTACCCATCTGGTCCATGCCCTGGCCCATCATTTGCTTCATCGGCCCCATGGCGCTCTTGAAGCCCTTCACCATGTCCGTGATGCCTTCACACTGGCCCTCGGCCATCTGCAGCATCATATCTTCGTAGGCGGCCATCCACTGTTTCCACTCGCTGTACGAAGGCATGGCGAACCCCATCGAGGTCACCATCTTCTCCATCATACGGTAACCTGCCAGAAAGACGCAGAGGCCTATGTAAAAGTTGGTAGTGCATGCGTGCTATAGGCAGGTTTTTGCTGTTTTGCTATCAGCTGATCGTGTTTATTTGCATCGGGGCAAGGTTATATTACCTGCTACCTTGTCGAACGATAAACACACTCCATACCTGCATGACAGAACGGGTAAAAGATATAAACAAAAGCACTCTGTTAGCCTATTATGACCTGCCACCATACCCGTAGGCTGAAAGCTCATCGGCATGCATACGGCAGGTGACGTATGCGGGACCCGGGTCTGACCCGCGCCCGGGGTCACCAGGGTTCCACGGAAAGAGGAGCGTCATGAGGGTACATCTAGACCCCGGACCCGGTCTGACGCGCGCCGGGGTCACCAGGATTCCACGGAAAGGGGAGCGTCATGTGGGTACATCTAGACCCCGGACCCGGTCTGACGGGTGCCCGGGGTCACCAGGATTCCACGGAAAGGGGAGCGTCATGTGGGTACATCTAGACCCCGGACCCGGGTCTGACCCGCGCCCGGGGTCACCAGGATTCCACGGAAAGAGAAGCGGCATACGGGTACATCTAGATGAGGCTGCAGCCTATGTTTGTGCCAGCGCATAATGTAAGTTCCTGGCCAAGCCCCACGCAGATTCAGAACAATCAGGTAGACAACTTCTGGCCTCGCACACCACCAGGACCTGACGACTATACTGCACCCATGATGTTCAATAGGAGAGCCATTTTGATTTGATCAGGCAGAATGCGTCAAGAAAGACTGCTGAAAGCTGGAGATTTGTTTCATCTCACAATGTACAACAGGGGCTGGCTAACACTCTTTTCACATTCTTTGGGTTGGGCAACTGGTCTTCTTGCCTCCTGTTTCTGAACTCCTGCCGTCATATTCACAAAGGCGTTCTCCCAGTGTCAATGTCAATTGTCAACTGTGTCAATGTGGATTGCCACATTGACACAAACGAACTCTACAAGACGTCCGTCATCCAAATGGTCATTCAAGCTCTCTCAGTCTGGACAGA